TAATATATATATATATATATATATATATATATAACTTTTTTAATAAATAGGAATCTCAACTACAGATCAAGTGCCACAATATATAAAACACGGGATTTTGATCAAAAAAAGTTCAAAATTTGTAAATGTGGTTCATTTACTTAAGATTAAGCATTGTGGAGAGTAAAACAATTAACAAACCGCGAGGTGTCTTCTTTCAAAAGACACTAACATTTTTATTTGTGCATGTAATTTCTTGGGGTTTATTTCACTTGTTAAAGTTTTTAATGAAAGTGATTATAAAGTGTTACCGACACAAAAATCTTTCTTAGCCCTAATTTGGCTGAGAGTCTGGGTCTCTAAAAGTTAAAAACCTCTGTTTTAGAGGAATAAAAGACAGAAGGAAAAATCAAGGATGCAAACAACAGAAAACAAGGTTCCTTTTTTTGCTGCTCAAATACCAAATACAGAGAGGAAATGATGTCACGCCTCCCACACAAACCACACCAACTCACACTTTCATTTGTTTTGCAGTATATCATACAAGTGTTTTCTTCATCTTCTCACCATGCAGTTTCATAAACACACATTAGACCTTCAATGTCATAAATTAACCAACAGTTTGATAGGGGAAAGTGTGAAAGAAAGTGACTGTGTGTTTATCACAGGTTGCTAAGCTTACCTTGGCTTCAGTCCAGACTCAGCCTCAGGGCATTTCTGCAGCAGTGGGACCAGTGGAAATCTTTGGGCATTATTCACTTCTCTCAATCTGTGGAAGAGCAGAACCATCCAGTTAAGATCTCAAACAAGGCTCAACACAACCAATGCAATATAGCCTAGTATCACACATCAAAACGTTATTAATATTGATTAATTTAGTGTAATTAAATTTTTTTATTTTTTAAAGGATGATACAGTGGCCATGCTTGTTAATAAAAAAATAAAAAATAAATATCAGGCCATTTTGAGCAACTATGCTTCTTGGTCATTTAACATAAGTAATTTTACACTAATTTAAGAGCTCCACAACTTAGTCAATTTTATAAACGGATAACAATTACACAGAAAAATCAGGTTAAAAAAGCATCTCCAAGGTATGCATGTATATAGAAAATATAATTATTAATAATACAAAAGGAATAAATAAATAAATAAATAAATAAATAAATAAATAGTGAAGAGCAATGGAAGCCTTTTTGGAATGTTAATATTTCTTGACAATTTGTTGATTTTGTATTTTTCTTATTCTTGATTTACAGTATTAAAAATAATGAGAATGGAGGCTCTCACAATGCAAAATAAATTTTTTGGTCTTAAAAATAAGAAGTATTGAATGTTATCAAAATAACTTTTTTTTATTTTTTACTTTTGAGTTTAGGGTGAAATACGACCTGGCCATATTCTTGAGAAGTTTCTTGAGATTCGCCCACTTATATACGTTTTTAAAGAGTTTTGTGTAAATAACATTCACATTCTGAGGCCACTCCGTCAGCTGACCTGGAAGTAAAACATTAAGGTTTGTATGACATCGGATTCTATGACATCACTTCCCTGTGCGTCTTGTGAGAGCAGAGCCCTGTCAGCTGTGGGCACAGCACTTGAACTGTCCTCTATCAGAGAGTTATCAGCCAACCAAAGAGACGGAAGAGTAGTCCCAGACCTGTCAGGAAGAGTGTGGCTATTCTTAATAACGACACCTTGCCGGCACCGGCTCCAAGAGGACCAACCACGCTCGGGTGATACCGAGAAGACCCACAGAGGTCAACGATCGGGTGGCATTCATGGCTTATGTCCTTGGGACCCATATGGAGAACACTGCTTATAAATTGTCCAAAAAGAAATAAGAACAGGTAATGGACATCAATAGCAATTCTAATAGCAAGGGAATAGTTTGCCTCCAAAAAAAGATACTGTTCACAAGTGGTTGATAGTGGTTTGCCAAATGTGCACCTTTCAAATTAACATTCTTCTGATGAAGTTTTTTTTTTTTTAAATGAAAGAAGATAGATAGCTCTGCTATAGTTAGTAAAACACAATGAGACTGCCTGGAGTAGTCATGTTTTTCAGGCAATTAGCTTAAAGGCACAATATGTAATTGCGTGCAGCTCGCTTGCGGACGGACGCGATGTGTGGTGATTTGAAGCCATTTGCGTATTTTGAGAGAGTAGGGGGAGCGCACGCGCGCGGTGATTCACTCACGCTGTTTGTGAAATTACATCTCACACAAGGTTTTCAAATTACTTTATAAGTTATTTAATGAAGAAATATGCAGCATTATAATTATTTCACCTGCGCCAGACAGAGACTGAGATGGTGCCACTGCATGTCGTGCCAAACCTCTTCCATCTCTGCAAACTTGTTGAAAAAAAAAAGAGTTCGATATAAGTTTTAATCCACCATCTCCATCCTGGCCTTCTCAATAATGTCAAGGGGAAAGATCTAATTGATCCCACAATACTCTTTATACTCTTATACCATCCATTATAAAGTTCATGAAAGTTGAACGCCAAGTGGAGACATAAGGGACAGTTGAATCAGCACACATCAAGTGTGCTCAAGAGATGAAATGAAGAAAAAATTAGGAAAAATATAACATTAGATGCTCCAGAGAAGAGAAAGTTTTGCAAAAATATAAAGTACTTGATCGTTAAAAAAAAACAAATCTTGTAAAGAAGTCTCTTATGCTAACCAAATCTGCATTTATTTGATCAAAAAACACAGTAAGAACAGTAATACTGTGAAACATTATTAAAAGGTAGGTGTTTTCCATTTTAATATGCAATTTATAATGGCAAAGCTTAATTTCCAACAGCCATCACATAATTCATTATTTAGTGTCACATGATCCTTTAGAAATCATTCTAATATGCTGATTTGCTGCTTAGGCTACATTTCTTTTTTATTATCGACACTTTCAGAAACCCAAATGGTGCCGGAATCTCCAAAACGGCATAAAGCAATCATCACAAACTTTTTTGAAGACTATTAAAGGACCGAAAATGAGCTCAACATCATTAGAAAGGGGAAAAATTGGGAAAAAAAAAAAAAACAGGAAGAGAAGGGAAAAAACTGACAATCATCATCAGGTTGGTAAAGATTTAATAGTGTTACACACGTCTTCAGGGCCTCTGGTTCCACAAGGGAATCGTTTCAAGCTTATTAGATAGTAACATGAAGTACGCCTTTTTAATTATGTTCAGCAAGTAATTAGTGGAAAAAGGGTTTAAATCATCTCCCCGATCCCAGAATTAGCCTCTGAGAAGAAAAAAAATTACTTGCCGCAGTAAGTATCATTCAACAAAGTTGAAAGCGCATGCAGAAACAGCCAGAATTCTCCCATTGTGAGCAAATGCCTTTAAAGGGGTTGTTGACTTAAGCAGAATCTCTCCTGGGAGCTTGTGAACAAATACCTGAGAAGAGGGCCATCCGCAGCGCATGTGCTGCTGACCAGATATTGCTACATGTAGTTTCACAGCAGCAACCCTGCTACAACACCATGCGCACACTGACAACAACACAAAGGGAGAACAAAAGACCTAGCGCTGGGTTTCTGATGGGCACATTAAATAATAAGAATGCTCTGGGCAGGTGTTTCTATAAATAATCATAAAAATAATAAATTCACTATATAGTTACACAAGCGTGTAAATGCCTTTAGCGATCTAAATGGGAAACAGAGAAATCATGTGGCCTGTGTAAAAAGAAAAGTACATTAAAATTAATCTAGCATATCTAAATCACTATTAATCATTATTATATAGCGAGAGACACATCAGATGCATTCTGAAAGACTTCATTTATCTTTTCACTGGTCAGGGGGAAGTTAAAAAAAAGTCTTTTCTGAGGCCGGAGGAATTTCCCTCAATTTCTTGTGTCACGTGTTTGTTCTAGCCCACAGCAGATCTTAACCCGATTGGTCACTGTAGTTATGGGGTCCCTCAACCATGGTAAATCAGTCAACCGGCTGATTCAGCTGTCAGATAGACACCAAAAAGCCTTTTTGTTTTTGTGGAAATGTCTTTCAAATACCATAAAGTCACAAGCTTTTGTGGCCATAGAATTGTATAGCTCAACTGAAATCAAACAGTCTCAATTGCAGATAAATTTCAAATCAGGTTCCATAACAGCTGCTCCTTACTATTCAATAAGCACTCCACACCAAAGGGCTAGGAAGATCTGACAGCCTCTATCTCTCTCCATCTGCAATCTGGGTCAAAACAAGTTCATGCCAGTGTTACAGTTGTGTGTGTAACACCACAGACCATATTCCCCATCATCTCAACCACTGGCCACTGTGAGGCCTAATACTACAAATGCATAGAAATGATTGACTGAACACTTATTCTCCTTCATAATGTAGCTTCAGAAACATATTTCCCATTAGACCTAAGTAAAGAGACATGTTGAATACACATGAGAAACTGAGAGGACAGGACATAAATTAGGGTTGTGACGGTGAGGAAATTTTCCCAGGCAAGTAAAAATAATTATTTATACAATATTTAATAATAATCAATTGTTTAATGAAAAATAGAAATATTTTATCACAACTGCAAAAAGGCCTGTAAAAATGTTGGCAGGATAAGTAAAAATATTAAATATAATAACAACAACAACGTTTAATGAAAATAAATATTTTCTCACATTTACTCTCTCATGATTACTCTCTTTTTTTGTGGTGCGGTATCTTTTCCCTGGTCAGGGGGAAGTAAAAAAAAAAAAAAAAAAAAACTTTTCTGAGGCCGGAGGAATTTCCCTCAGTTTCTTGTGTCACATGTTTGTTCTAGCCCACAGCAGATCTTAACCCGATTGGTCACTGCAGTTAAGGGGTCCCTCAACCGTGGTAAATCAGTCAAGCGGCTGATTCTGCTGTCAGATAGACACCAAAAAAGCCTTTTTGTTTTTGTGGAAATGTCTTTCAAATACCAAAAAGTCACAAGCTTTTTATGATCTCAACTGAGATCAAACAGTCACAGCAACTGCAGATAAACTTCTAATCAGGTTTCATAACCGCTGCTCTTTACTATTCAATAAACACTCCACACCAAAGGGCCAGGAAGATCTGACAGCCTGGACACACACACACACACACACGCACACACAGACAGCAGACCACACACACTGTGGATCTATTCCTAACGAACATGTTGTGATAGAGTGGGACGTCCTGCATTCCCTTCCCCTAGACCCTCTATCGCTCTCCATCTGCAGTCCGGGTCAAAAGTTCACGTAAGTGTTACGGTTGTATGTGTCACGAAGATGCTATTTACATAAAAGTCTTAAAGTCACGGTACCAAAAAACTGCCCATTTAATTCTAAGAGTCACAGAGATAGGGGACAAGTTTTGGCACAAAAAACCCAATAAAATTATGTGGACCCCAAAGAAGAAATAAAACAAAAAATAATGCTATTCACAAAATAATGCTGCTCAAAAAAGTCCAGAAGCTCAGATTTTATTCTAGAGAAGTTTCACGTATTCAGTCAAGTTCACTTAGCAGCTCTTTGGCTAGATGTGAGCGGGATTGTCTAAACCCTGTGTTTGAGGGTAAGTGATCCTGCTCTCTCCCCCATGATCCTCTCTGTTTCCTCCTGGCCTGAAGCAGGTGCAAGTCATCTCAGTGGGGATGTCACTAAAGGCTTATGTCAGGGGAAAGCAGCCAGCTAATCGTACCACTCAAGGGCTAAAGATTAGACTGGCCGCGCAGATTCTTTTACTCACTCAAAACTGACCACAATGGGCCAGGCGCAGAGGCCAGATACAAATTTAAC